TTTATCCCGATAATCGCATCGCGTCACGTCGCGTTGCCCTACGTTGCTTATCCCCCGAAAGCTGCCGCAATCTGGATCAAAGCCGTTGCTGCAGGAACGTGCAGACCGGCTCGAGGAGCAATCCTTCTTGCTGAACTGACGGGCGAACGTACGAGATTTCCTTGCTCGTATTCTTCTATCCCGATCGTGTTCAACATCCGTCTCTTTTTTCCTCAGCAGGGAAAACGGAAGAGTGATCCGGTCAGAATTCCAAGCAAAAAACCGGGTTCATTGCGACCGATGATTCGAATTCACGTTTTATTCAGTCGCGGATTGCCTGTGCGAAAATCGGGTCTGATCTAATTTCGTACGCGCGACCTCGACGAGGAAGCTCTATCTCCTGCAGTTGATGGCACGATTTCGTATCTGGCTGATCTCTATCCTCCCTGGCTCCGAGTGTGAATTCCGACTGGCGCATTTCTCGACCGTTAAGTGTCGGAAAACAGAATTACGAGGTCTGGGAATATTTTTCAAGTACTCGCGACAACGTTCTTTCAACGACCCTATCTCCGTTGGTGGTCGTGTTAAGTTATTGCTCACATTAAGCTGTTCTCTTAAAATTTATCACTTATTCGATATTTTGATGTCTTAATAGAGTAGGGCGATGCTATTCCATCGGTTTCAACATTAAAGTAATACGAAAATTTACGGTATAAACAATATCTCTTTACAGTGACTACAACAATGCTTACAACTACATTAAACAATCATGATAGTTTCTTGATAGTACAAGCATAAGCTTTAAATATTCAATATATGCTGTTCAGAAAAACATTATCTAATTAAATATAAAAATTCCTATATTCAAAGCAGGATCTTAGTGTTTAAATATTTTTTGTGTGAATTTATATAGGTATCTGATTCTATCAGGATATCGTGCGCCAAAATTATTTTCGGTCTTGAAAAAAATATCACCACGACCAGAACCAGAATAGAATATAACATCACTTTATTAAATTAACAAGCAATTTAATAATTATTTTTTGATATTAATAAGCATCTTTTATAAGAATATTAATAATTAGATGTTAATGAGAATCTTAAAATTTTCATATAATCAACCAGGACTTAAACCTGGAACTCCCGATTTTTTAGGACGAGCGTCATATCGATTCGATGAATATTATCGCGAGAAATGGACGAAAAGCCTTAACCTTATAATTGTCCTAGTATAATTGAATAATTACAATAAAAATTAAGATGACATAAATGTCACACTGGCATTATACAAGAATCGTTTTCTTTTTCATCAAGAATCGTTTTAAAAGATTCCTATTCGGCAAGGAATATATTCTCTGAGCATTAGTATTTCTTCGGCGGCGAAAGATAAATTGTCTTACGTATCGCTTTGCTCGTTTTAAATTCAGCACGATGCATTCCGTCCGTGAGGAGTTCCCTTTTTCCGCTTTAACTTTAGCTTTCCTTGCCGCAGTTCTTAACTATGATGTTCGGATAAAAACGCAAGACACGAAAATGGCTATAAAATGGAATTTGATACGGAAGCATGGAAGGAACTTGGCTTCTCACTCTGCTTTTGTTCTCACAAAGTACCCCCACCCTCTCGCAATTACACTTGCGCAAAATACTGACTATTATTCCATGATAAAGCAAACGTGTTTTCTCGAATGTCATCCTGCGGACATTATTTCGCAACGTGGCATCTTTTCCCTCTGCAAAATATTACATTTGTTTTGTTTGCGAGAGCACTCGCAAAAATCTGCGTATTTCACGCGTAGGAGAGAAAGTGAGAGGGAGAGAAAGA